GGAGGTTGCGGTGAGCCGAGATCACGCCATTGCACTCCAGCCTGGGTAACATGAGTGAAACTCCGTCTCAAAAAAATAAATATTCCAATGATTTGTTTCTTGTATTAATTTTTTTTTTTAAAGATGTAGTCTTGCTCTGTCACCCAGGTTGGAGTGCAATGGCATGATCTTGGCTCACTACAACCTCGCCTCCTGGATTGAAGCAATTATCTTGCCTCAGCCTCCTGAGTAGCTGGGATTACAGGCACCCACCTCCGTGCCCAGCTAATCGTTGTATTTTTAGTAGAGACAGGATTTTACCATGTTGGCCAGCCTGATCTTGAACTCCTGACCTCAGGTGATCCATCCACCTTGGCCTCCCAAAGTGCTGGGATTATAGGCGTGAATCTCCACGCCCGGCCTGTTTCTTCTGTTAAAGTAACTAACAATCTAAGGCACTTTTTTTTTTTTTTTACTGTAATCATTTTTGTTTTGTATTTCTCTATCGACTCGAACTTTTCTCTGACAAGTTTTGTAGTTTTTTGTGGTCCTAAGGCAACTTTAGTCATGTTTTTCTAGAACACATCCATTGCATACAGTATTTTGTATTGTTTACTGTGTTTTGCTGGTGATCCTCATTGTGAATTAGATAAAAATGGATGATTTATATTTCATTCTGACTAATTTGTGAGAAAATTGTGACCAAATCACTTTAAAATACTGAAGAATTGCTGTTGTCCAATATTATGATTAATAATTTTTTATTAATTATAAAATATAGTAGTGATTACCGAACCCTTTGCTATACTTAATGTCAGAACCATTAAGTACAGATTACACATTTAAGTTTTGTTTTTAATACAAGCCAAAGTTGTGAAATACCAATGATTATTCCACTAAGAAAAAGTTAAAATGGTCAATTTGAATTCATATTTTGTAATAATTTACAAAAACCTGAAAGTTAAAAGTAATTCTATAGAATGAGAGTGAGTATCTTAACTATAACTTTCTTTGAGTTGATGACTGGATTTCCCATAGTCCTTTTACGATTTTTTTAATGTGCTAGTTTTTATATTAAAATATTTTATAAATACAACTTTTGGAGGGGTTATTTTAAAAAAGGTAGCAAACATTTGAGAACTCATTATAGAATATGGCTTGCAATGTCCTAAGCAATGGATATTTTTCTTTCCAACAATAAAAAACTGTTTCTCCACCAGGCGCGGTGGCTCATGAATGTAATCCCAGCACTTTGGTAGGCCAAGGCAGGCGGATCATGAGGTCAGGAGTTCAAGACCAGCCTGGCCAACATGATGAAACCCCATCTGTACAAAAAAGTTAGCTGGGCATGGTGGCATGTGCCCATAATCTCAGCTACTCTGGAGGCTGAGGCACGAGAATCACTTGAACCCGGGAGGTGGAGGTTTCAGTGAGATGAGATGGCGCCACTGCACTCTAGCCTGGGTGACAGAGGGAGACTCTGGCCCTTCCCAAAAAAAAAAAGGAAAAAAGAAAAAACTTTTCTGCCAACTTTTTGGTAGTGTAAATTAAAAGCAAATTAGAATACTATATTCTAAAGTGACATTTTAACTTCATTTGTTTAAAGACATAATAAATTCATTTTGTTCACAGTCCAAAAGATGAAAAGAGTGTACCTTGAAAAGTTCTGCCACTCTTGTGCTTTCTGGAGGTTACTTGTGTTAACAATTTGTGTATCCTTTCAGAGATAATTTCTGCAAACACAAGCAAATAGAAATATGTGTGTATTGTGTGTATGCGTATGTATATTCTTCTTTTTATATAGTTATTAGCATAGTAAACTCATTTTGCACCTTGATTTTTTAATTTTATTTTTTTTTTTTATTTTTTTATTTTTTTTTTTTTTT